GAAGACCTGCGTGGTCCAGTAAATAAAGGTTATCGGTCTTTCTTCGTATCCTGACAGCTGCTTGTAGGCTGGAAATACATTTAGCGACAGTTAAGGCTACCTGACTGGCTAAATTACGACAGTTGCGTTGTTTTTTTCCCTCTGACTTAATCTCTTACAGCTGCCACTGGTGACTTCATTCATTCTCGTGTTTAAACCTTCATTCAGCCACATAAAATCCCCAAGCGTGCAACGATGCTTCTGCACGGCGACCTTTACTACACTTCCTGTGTTTGATGGATACCGTTCCGACTTTCCACTGGCGCTCACAAACAATGGTCCCCCCTCCTTAGTAATCCATTTTTATGCTCACCTAATTTTGCTGACCTGTTAAGAGAATAACTACGCAACGGTAGTTAATGCACTCTGTGAATTTTAGTTTAAACGGCTTGAACCGCAACAGCGATGAAAAGCTAACAGGGACGCAAAGACTTTGCGATGAGCGTCTCAAGAAGCTAATGAGGGTTAGCTCCGCTAGCATTAAATGCGATGTTATTATTTGCGTGTTTCAATCACTTTATATTATTAATAAGCGTGAGAAAAACTTCAGCTCCTGTAACTCACTGCCAGCTAAGGATTTCTATAACAGGCAGTTAGCCTGTTATAGAAAAAGTGGATTCAATGAGGCAGACGGTGCAGCCTTGCGGTTAAACACAGCTGTTGATGTTTTGTTTTTTGGATCCAAAGGACCGTGGAAACTCGGGCAGTAGGTCTGACTCTGAAGTTCATTTTCTACTGTAAGCACCTGCAATTTTGTGCATGTAACCGTGTACCTGTGATGTGTCTTATTACAGTTAGCACTAGTGCAATAACGTCATCAGTATGAAAGACCACTATGTACTATCAAAGTTATATTAATATCTGTATGTCATTAATTCTGTCTATATATTAGCCCTGATTAAAGGGTAAGTTATATGCTTGATTTATTAAACAGTGGGGACATTTGGAAGTCTGTGGGTTTTCAGCTTGAAAAGTTTGGGTGTTATCAGTGCATTTCCAGCAACTATGATCATATCAGTACCATCAAGATACCACTTTATTCCAGACTTTTTTTTTCTAAATGCACAAAATATGTATCAAAGTCTAATACTGAGCTGCTGGGCGGGAGGAAAAGAGGAAGACCACAGACAAGACTCATGGATGTAGCAAAGGAGGACATGCAGGGGATTGGTGTGACAGAGGAGGATGCAGGTTCTACTGTGTTTTCACATGCTGGGAATTAATATCTCATATCATAGTTCAGGACTGAGATGACAAATGGAACAAAAGAAAAAACAAACCCTTAATAATGTTTGATTAAAAAAAAGAGTTCTGAATAATACCAAAACTAAAAGCAAAACAGGAATTCACAACAGTGCGAGAATGAGAAGGAACAGACAGCTCAACACCAAGAACGAACAGGGTTATTTATACACACATGGAGTGATTGGTCGTTAAACACAGATGTGAAACTAATGAGCTGATGCATACAGTCAGAAAGGAGGGAAAAGGACAGGAATGTTATAGAGTCTGATGCTTAACTTGTGCATGTTTACCCTAACATGATATTAAATTGTTCTGAAATTTTAAGGCTTTGCTCTTTTTATTTTTTAGACGCAATGGAGACGATGGATTTTTGTTGTGAAAAATGTGGACAGAGCTTTTCAGACAGCGGCATGTTTGCCTCTCACCCCTGTTCACAAAGACAAATCGCTTCATCCAGTAAAGTGCAGCTGGACAGATTCAAGTGTTCTCGGTGTGCTGAGGTCTTTTCCAAACCAGCTGCTCTTAAACATCACTTTAAAACCAGCCACAGTGACCCAGACCTGACAGGCCCGTTCTCCTGCTCTGAGAAAGGCTGCTACTTCAGTGTCTCAGACCGTGACGAGTATCAAGCCCACATAATGTCTACACATGGCCTCACTCTTGTTCCCTGCACCTACCGGGCTTGTAAAGCGTCATTCCTTACACAGGCTGAGATGGAAAGCCATCGGAAAGGACACTTGCCCTTTGGCTGCTTTCACTGCCAGTTTGTCTCTCAAAATGCTAAAACCCTGAGTGGCCACCTCTTGGAACACAAACATCTGCCAAATAATGTTCAAGGTAAGTGGGCCCTGCAGGGAGGTGGGACTCTCATACCTTCAAACCTTAGCTGTAAGATGGAAATTATGATTTCACATGTCCTTTATTATTTTCTCTTAGGGAATGAGCAGGAGCCAACACCGATGGGCTATAAGGAAAGCCGCTTGTCTGAGGTCAGCGTGTCACAAAGAAAAAATCCAGCTTGTGGGCCAGAGGAACAACCTGAGAGGCCAGGTGGCAGGAAAGACACGGCTTTAGCAGGAGATGCTACATCACTGCCATCCAAAGGTAAGAACACCTATTGTCTGCTTAGTGGATTATTATGGTGACCACTGTAATCAGCTACAACATTAAATCTGACAGTCTGCTTGAACACCGTGGCTCCCGGCACTCGCGTGGAAGTCACTTTGACATGTATCTCCTAATTCTGATACATTTGATTTGTATAATACCAATTGGCACTTTATACACGTGTCAATGATCCTTCACTTTGCAGACATTTTCACTAGATGGAGCTTTAGCCAGATGTAGAAGTCATCAAGTAACACCTTTTTTGGGTTGTATATTGTTTTCTCTTCTTTACTTTTGCACCTTTGTGGTCCAGCTATCCAATTTCGCAGTGCAAGAAACTGCAAAATGACAATAAAAAGTTCTGAGTCTCTAAGACTAAGTCGCTGGTTCTTTGTTATCTCGCCAGCTTCTTCACACCCCTACCCATACACTGTTGGTTCCACCATTATGAATTTCTTCCCTCCAGGAGACCACATCATCATCTATTCTGAGATGAGTGTATACCCATCCTGCTGTCCTTGTACGACAGGTCCTGCCTGATATTGGCCTGTGCCTCTATAATAAAAATGATGCTGTTCAGTTGCAGTTTTCATTTGACTCAATATCCTTTCCTGCTCTATGACCTCCTAAAGTGCTGTTACCACTGTTTATACCCTAATTGTGCCAATGTTCCTCTCTCTCCACATAACTGGTTGACTGGTCAAGCTAGGATGTTATAAGCTTATTCAAGTAGGAAGGAAATGCTCCACCCTCCACAGTCCAAGTCACGTGATGGCACTTCCTCAAATATTTGTAATTCTTCCTAGACAAAGCCAATGATGCCTCACGAGACAATATTTGGCAAAAGTGGGGGGAAAAAACTCTGTAACAGGAAAAGTCCTCCAGCAGACTGCAAAGGGAAAGAGGAGAATGAGAAGAAACAGTACAGTAGATGGACAACAAACAAGACTATGGTAGAGTAGGCAAACATTAATGACATGCAATAGTAGTACACAAACACAGGAGTGAAGATGTGATTGAAACATTTAGTTGCAAAATTGAGGAAAGGTTCAGGTCCACCCTGTATGGCCTTAATTTAAAGGTTAATCAGAAAGGAATGTCCAAAGCCTACTCTTAAAAGTAGACGTGGTCTCCTCAATGCAAACCAGAAGTTAGTTTCATAGTAGACCAAATCTTGTTGGTGGCAACCCCCACCCCAATCAGGACAGTGACCCTTGTCTTACCACAAAAAACTGCAGAGCTCATGGCTTTCCTGAACTCCAGAGTCCTAAATCCTGTTCTCAATGATCCTCCTGATTTGTGCTGGAACAATTCGGATCCAGAGAGGCCTTATTTTGTGATCTCAAAGTTGTTGCCAAAGTCGTAGTACAGACATCTGCTGGAGTCCCACATCAATGCCCTGAAAGCTAGGAGCTCTTTTGATGCCACAAAAGAGACCTACACATTATTAGACAGATGTTGTGAGTGATTGGTGCCCTTCACAAGTGGTTTATTACAAAAAACCCATCTCTCATTACTGTTTAACATGACATAAAAGATCTGTTCTTTAATCAAAATGATAGAAGGAAAAAAACCAGTAAACAATGCAAAATATAAACTGTAACAAAGACAACCCATTATTCTTGTAAACATATATTTAAACTAACATTTTCAATTTGTTTCTATTTAACAGAGTACCTTGCAGAGGGATCAGAGCACATCTATCGC